AACTTGGTGGCTTATAGCAGCAGGCACTAATTTTTGTTGTCTTTCAGAGCTGTGGTAACAAAACCACTGCTAACTCAGGCATGGTTCCAGACTATAGGCTGGACTCAGATGTGCTGCACATTTCCCTTTCTCTCCTTGGACAGGCAGTTACCTGGGGCACATTCTTTTCCTGGCAGATCACAGAAGCATAAAAGGCTACATCGAAATATACACAGGATTTCAGGGCTCTGGGCTTCCCTGGTGGTTCACTGGCAAAGAATCAGCCTGCCAATGCAGGGGACATGGGTTTGATCCCTAGTTCTGGAAGATCCCACATGCCATGCAGCAACTAAGCCTGGGTGCCACGACTACTAAGCCTGTGCTCTAGGGCCCAGGAGCTGCAACTACTGAAGCTCATGTGCCTAGAGCCTATGCTCTGCAACTAGAGAAACTACTGCAATAATAAGAAGCCTGCCCAGTGAAACTAAAGAGTAGCCCCTGCTTGCCACAACTAGAGAAAAGCTTGTGCAACAATGAAGACCCAGCACAGCCAAGATAAATAAAATTATTTTAAAAATACATTTCAGGGCCCTGTCCACATTGTAACCACTCCCATGCCACTCAGTTCAATTCAGTCATTCCCTGTCCGTCACCAAAACCCAGGGCTTGCTCAAACTCATGTCCATCGAGTTGGTGACACCATCCAACCATCTCATCCTCTGTCATCCCTTCTCCTCCTGCCTTCAATCTTTCTCAGCATCAGGGTCTTTTCCAATGAGTCAGTTCTTCCCATCAGGTGGAGAAATATTGGAGCTTCAGGTTCACCATTAGTACTTCCAATGATTACTCAGGACTGATTTCCTTTAGGATTGTTTGGTTGGATCTCCTTGCAGTCCAAGCGACTCTCAAGAGTCTTCTCCAACACCACAGTTTGAAAGCATCAGTTGTTCGGCACTCAGCATTCTTCATGGTCCAACTCTCACACACATACATGACTACTGGAAAAACCATAGCTTTGACTAGATGGACCTTTGTAGGCAAAGTAATGTCCACTTTTTTAATATGCTATCTAGGTTGGTCATAGCTTTTCTTCCAAGGAGCAAGCATCTCTTAATTTCATGGCTGCAGTCACCAACCTGGGGTGATTTTGGAGCCCAAGAAAATAAAGTCTGTAACTGTTTCCATTGTTGCCCCATCTATTTGCCATGAGGTGATGGGACCAGATGCCGTGATCTTAGTTTTTTGAACGTTGAATTTTTAAGTCAGTTTTTTCATTCTCCTCTTTCACTTTCATCAAGAGGCTCTTTAGTTCCTCTTTGCTTTCTGCCATAAGTGTGGTGTCACCCACATATCTGAGGTTATTGATATTTCTCCCAGCAATCTTGATTCCAGCCTGTGTTTCATCCAGCCTGGCATTTCGCATAATGTACTCTGTATGTAAGTTAAGTAAACAGGGTGACAATATACAGCCTTGACGTACTCCTTTGCCAATTTGGAACCAGTCCATTGTTCCATGTCCGGTTCTAACTGTTGCTTCCTGACCTGCTTACAGGTTTCTCAGGAGGCAGGTAGGGTGGTCTGGTATTCCCATCTCTTGAGGAATTTTCCACAGTTTGTTGTGATCCACACAGTCAAAGGCTTTGCCATAGTGAATAAAGCAGAAGTAGATGTTTTTCTGGAGCTCTCTTGTTTTCTCAATGATCCGATGGATGTTGGCAATTTGATCTCTGGTTCCTCTGCCTTTTCTAAATCCAGCTTAAACATCTGGAAGTTCTTGATTCACGTATTGCTGAAGCCTTGCTTGGAGAATTTTGAGCATTACATTGCTAGCGTGTGAGATGAGTGCAATTGTGCAGTAGTTTGAGCATTCTTTGGCATTGCCTTTCTTTGGGACTGGAATGAAGACTGACCTTTTCCAGTCCTATAGCCACTGCTGAGTTTTCCAAATTTGCTGGCATATTGAGTGCAGCACTTTCACAGCATCATCTTTTAGGATTTGAAATAGCTTGGCTGGAATTCTATCACCTCTACTAGCTTTGTTCATAGTGATGCTTCCTAAGACCCACTTGACTTCACATTCCAGGATGTCTGGAGTGATCACACCATCTTGATTATCTGGGTCATTAAGACCTTTTTTTTTTAGTTCTTCTGTGTATTATTGCCACCTCTTCTTAATCTCCTCTGCTTAAGAAGGTCCATATCATTTATCATATCATATCATATCATATCCATATCCATGATCTGAGTTTATGATCTGAGCCAAAGTCAGATCCTGGTTTTGTTTATGCTGAATGTATGTGACCCATGCCACTGGCCAAAGCTAATACCCAAGCCCCTAGTCCAAGTATGGGCGAGTTCACATTACCATTTAAATCCATGGCTGGGCTATTACAGAAAGGCTGAGAATGGAGTACCTTGCTCCTCTCCATCTCCCTGAGCATGGTAGAGATGGGAGTGGGACTGCGAAATAGATTGGGGCAAGATCAGAGAGCCATGGACTGGGGGTGTTATTCTAAGTGTCCCGAGAAGCTACTGGATGAGTTTACTCTGAGGAGTTACACATAATCAAATTACGTTGAGCAATGATAAATGACTGTTTTGTGAAGAATGGATTGTAGGAAGAAAGAGGAAAGCGGGGAGTCTTGGGAGGGTGCCATTTCAGAAGACTGGGGAAGATAAGATGTTGTCTTGGTCTAAGGTACTGGCAATTGAAAGAAACCTAAGTGCACATGTTTAGGATGTATTTCAGAGATAGAATCATCTAGGCTTATTGATGGATCTGGCATCCAAGGAAAGGAGAAAAATCAGGGGTAACTCTAAGAGTTTTTGTCTTGAGCCATTAGCCTAAATGGGAGGTAGTACCATTTCCAGAGATGGAAAACTAGGAAATAAACAGATTTGGGCAAAAATCAATCTTTATCTCATTTAATGCAATGGTCTCCACAACCCTATCTAGAGGTACTTTATTATCTCCTTTTCTTAGAAGAGGAAACAGGGACCCAGAAAAGTAGAGTAACTTGTCCCTGACCACAACACTGATCAGTGGCAGACCCAGAATTTGAATATACAGGCAGAGCTCAGTGATATTTTGGGTTTGTTTCCAGATCACCTCAATAAAGTGAATATCGCAATAAAGTAAATTACATGAGGTTTTTTTTTCTGAATGCATATAAAAGTTATGTTCCTACTATATATTAAGTGTGCAATAGCATTATGTCTAAAAAGAATGTCCATATCTTAATTTAAAATACTTTAGCACTAAAAAGAAAAATACTAACCACCATCTGAGCCTTCAGTGAGTTGCCATCTTTTTGCCATAGTCACAAAGATCACCATAACAAGTACAATAATAATGAAAAGTTTGAAATACTGTGAGAATAATCAAAATGTTGCATAGAGACACAAAGTGATTAAACACTGTTGGAGAGATGGCTCTGATAGACTTGATTGATGCAAGGTTGCCACAGACCTTCAACTTTTAAAAAATGTGCTATCTGCAAATTGCAGTAGAATGAGGTCTGCATACAGTTAATCTCTACCCAGGCTGCATACTGTACAAGGTTGTTTCACTACTTCTCTCCCCTGTAGGAGATGCCCTATTTTGAAAAAGCTTGCCTGCTCCTAAATAGATTTGTTTTAGACCATATGTTCTAGGATTAGTCATTTATGTGTTGGGGCAGTAGGACACTAGATGGAAAGCAGAGAGGCCTGAACTCATGTCCCAGCTTGTCTACTATCAAGCTTGTATAAAAAGGATTTAACTTATTAGGAGAATGAGGAACAAATGCCATTCTATGTCCCTGAGGGATCTGACCCTGCCTTCCTACAACCACATCAGCTCAGTCATCCCTCCCTGGGCTAGTTCCAGCCATTGGTCTCCTCTCAGCTCCTAGGACAGGCTGAGTTCTTTCTCACCCACAGCCTTTGTGCCTGCTGCTCCCTTTATCTGGTTCTTCATTCACCACTCCTTCGGCATTTGTTTTATCTCCTCCATAGTGCTAAGTACAGTCTTTTCCGAATTGGTTCCTTTCCCTTTCTGCTGCTGGAAGAATGAGGAGACTTTTCTCGTACTTTCACCCTGAGGATCTGGTGGGGCTCCTGGTGGTAAAGCTCACACCAGTGTGAGGAGCCCATTGGAATTTCTAATTCTCAAGCTAGTCCACGCTGAGCCCCAACAATTCATCAATTACAGAATAAGGTATCACTGCCTGTACTGGTTCCTGTCCTGGGATTTCTGCTGTCAGGAAGCTGTGGTGCTCTGTATCCACCTGTCTGTCTCTCCAGTTTTCCAGGCAGCAGTTTGCCCCCTGATCTCGGTTCTTCTATGGATGTTAGTCTTGCTTACTTTTGTTTTGTTTAGACTTTGTCTTATTGTGTTGATGAAAATGACAGCTTCCAAGTTATTTCTGTGTTATACCAACAACCAATAAATTTTGGGGGAGGGATCTGCCTCCCCTACTTTGTTAGAAACCCTCTCCATTATTTCACTGTGTTTTCTCAAGATCCTGGAACACAGCCTTGCACATAAAGATGCATAATATTCTGGGCTTATAAATGAATGTGGGAACCTAGGTTCATCATTTAATGTCAAGTTTTTTAACTAGAAGTTGAATTACATAATCTCCCAGATTCCTTCTAATACAAAGTCTGTGATAATGAAGCATGGGGATTTTCTTGCAAAATGAAACCTGAAGTATAATTCACCAAGCTATGAAAACTATTTAATGTAAATGAAATGGTCCAATTTGTTATCCAGTCTCCTTTTGGAATATCATAAATACAGTAGACCTCAGACATCAAATGAAGGGATTCCCCAGCTCCTAAGGACTGAAAAGGACAGAAAGGAGTGGAAACTTTTTAAAATATTTCCAAGAAAAATTGCAAGTGCTATGTTTTCCTATAATTAAGAACATGAACTCAATAATGCCATTTATTACTTTTTAAAATGTAAGGATGAATTAATTACATGAATGCATGCTGTTTTGTTTGGATGACATGGTATTTCAAAACCCAAAACACAGGGTTATTATCAAGAAGACAATTATCAAGGATGAAAATTGTCAAGGAGATGGTGCCAGTTTGGGAAACTCAGAAGGTAATGTTTCAGGTTCCTTCAGCCTTAATGGGCGTCCCTGTGCCTCAGCTGGTAAAGAATCTGCCTGTAATGCGGGATACCTATGTTCAACCCCTGAGTTGGGAAAATCCCTGGAGAAGGGAAAGGCTACCTACTCCAGTACTCTGGCCTGGACAAGAGTCAGACACAACTGAGCAACTTTCACTTCAGCGTTAATCTCACGTGACCCTTCCCACCAAGTTAGAACTTGTGTCAGTCTTCTCTGAACTTTGTCCTTGTTTGGCACCCCACATGCTGTGGATTCTTAGTGATCTGACCTGCTGATGACCCCTTCAGCATTGTCTCCATAGCAGCATCATGATTATTCATTCAGAATCCATCCCTCCTCCTCCTCCAGACCATGAGATTAAATGAAATTAGCCGTAGCGTAGCTTCTCGGTTTTATGGTGTAGGTGTCCAGAACTGGTCGATGGGTATGTTTCAAACCAGGGATGGAAATGTGACCAATCCTGTACCATGAGAGTCAGGCTCAGGATTTTAAATGGAAATTTTTTAATATTTATTTTATTTACCTATTTATTTATTTAGCTGCACCAGATCTTGGTTGCAGCTTGTGGGATCTTTTCTTTAGTTGCGGCTTGAGGAATTTTTTTTTTAGTTGTGGCACGTGGAATCTTTAATTGTGGTGTACAAACTCTTAGTTCTGGCATGAGGGATCTTGCTCCCTGACCAAGGGTGGAATCTGGGACCCCTGCATTGGGAGCATAGAGCCTTAGCCACTAGACCACCATGGAAGTCACCTAGATGAAAATGGTTGGAAGTTCTCTGTCCACTGAGTCAGACACTGGAGGATGCAAGCCTCCAGCTGTTGCCACCATATAGCTACCATATAGCCAGGGTACCTTAGGTAGGAACTCCAAGAGAAAAGCCCTGAAGCAAAGGTTTGTGTGCAAGAGGTTTATTTTAGAGCTGACCCTGAAAGGCACAGGTAGGAGTGTAAAGAAGTGAGACAGGAAGTGAAGGAAGCCAAAGTAGAGAGCATTTGTGAGCAGGTTATGAGCCAAAGTAGAGAGCACCTGAGGCTCAGCCCTGTTGGAAGCATCTGAAGAAAAGTGTATTCTGGAGTTGTCCCACCCAGAGAACTCATTGCTTTTCAATCTACTCTCTGACCTTCATTGGCTGATGCCTGTTCCCAGGGCTGTTGACCCCCTGGCACTGCCCGCCTGCTGCAGCCTGAACCTGTTCTTGTGGCTGGAGAAGGCCCCAGGGCTGAGCATCACAGGAGCTGCCTCTGTGTGCCACCGACACACACAGAGGAACACCCAGTGCAGACAGCACTCATGGGGTCTGCAGCAGGAAACGTCCCTGAGCACGGAGCCAGCGCAGGTCAAGCAGGGCAGATGCGGAGAGGGACCCCGTTCTGACCCCACTGTGACCCTTGCATACAGCCATATCTTGCTAGCCCAGTTCCTGCACTTTCCTTTCAACGGATCAGTATCTCTCCTCCTTCTCAAAGATTATTTAGAATGAATTTCTGTGCCTTGTCCTGAACAGATCCTAACTGATGCATAGATTTTTGTCCCATCTTACAAGTATTTGAACACATATCTCCCTGTATCCCCCTTAGAGGGTAGACCCCATAATGAGTTTACTCTTGAGTCTTCTGTAGCACTTATTTGCAAGGTTTTCAAGAAATACTTGTTAAATGAATGAATGAATACTGATAAGGTCCATCAAAATTGAGTGTAAATCTGTATATATTAGAAGCCTATTGTCAGGCCCATGCGGTGGGCAAGCGACATGGAGAAACTGGCCGGAACTGACTCATCCTAACAGTAGCACCTGCTGGGGGAGGACGGAACACAGTAGTTCCCATTGGAATATCCACGTGAAAATGCCCACATGTTAGGACTTCCTTGGTTCTAGTTTTTCCCACAGCCCCATTTTTGGCTCTTCTTTCAATTCTGAGGACTATAATGTAGCTTCTGGTCCATTCTTTAATTGGCTTGATTTTTGACTCAGTCTCTGTCACTGACCACCCCTGAACCCTAACCAGCAGAAAAATACAGAACGAGACCCTGCGCAAGCCAGAGTCCGCTCATCTCAGTTCCAGATTCTCTCTAGTGGTAGCAGCGCAGGAGACTGTGTCACCAAGCCTGCTTCCCTGCAAGATTCTGACTTTAACAGATTAGAAACGTTCCCGGCACACCCCACGCTTCCGCTAATAAATGGTTCCATATCTATCATGAATGAATTTTTCAAGTCTTCCATTACTGGGCTGTGTACCTACTCACGAAGTACATTTCCAGGCGATTTTGTCTGAATTACATGGTTAATTGCCTCATATTTCCAGCTCATGTTACAGGCTCTCTGAGTTAGAATGCAAGAGAGAGGTACCATGTATCACTTCCTACACAGGGGACAGATTCACAGATAGAGCATGGTATATATTGATGATGAATGCTAATTTGTTTCTGACTTCTGAGTAGAACTAAGCTCAAAAGAGCCAAAAGGTTGAGGAATAGAGAAATCAGACAGTTATCCAGAGAGATGTTTTAGCTTCCAAATTTTATACTCATTCATTCGTCTGTTTGTCAAAACAAACAGATGTGCAAGTCTCTGTGTTAGGAACAGCAAAGGATAAATACACAGATACACTCTTGTGTTGCATCCTATTAATAACTCAGGCTGTGATGTGCACACCCATGAAGAAATAGGAAGAAGAGCAAGGGTCAAATAATAAAGTTATAATACAAAGCAAGATAAGTCTCTTCTAGAATTTTAGGCAGTAAATTCTACAGGAATTCATAGGAAGGTAAGGTCAGTGACTGAAGGTGGGATTCATGGTCAGAGTTGTTCCCAGAGTCAGGATCTGGATGGACCTTAAAGGAGGGGTGGGCATTCACTGGCTGACACAGAGCGTGACATCATTCCAGGACTAGGAAGTTTCCTGGCACAAAGAAAGCTGGGGAGTAGAACGTACCAGTGTACAGTTTTGTTGCCTCTGCTCCTAGGCTCTAAATCCCTAGCCGTCTCATTGTATTTGGAGTGGACTTGAGTCCAATCTCTCTCACCTATTGTACCAGCCTTGATATCTATCACAGTATTCCTGAATAAAGATGGCCCTTGTCCACATAGGTTGTATGACCTTTCCCACCCTCTGCTCAGGGACTCTGAGGGTCACATCAGAGGAGGAGGCTGCAGCAGGAAGCAGAAAGCACCCACAAAGTGGCAGTTGGAGGAAAGTTTAATCAAGGGCCTCTTTGTAAAGATATGGGCGGGAGGGGCACAGCAGGTGTGGTACAGGATGGAGGTGGGGGTGGTTGAGCTGGTAACCAAAGGGGTGTCATTGCCTCTAGGCAATGAAAGGGCCAGGCAGTGAGTGGGCATATTTCAGAACTGAAGGCAGAAGGGTCGCCTTACATGGGACCACTGTGATGTACACCTCCCAGGTCTCATTCAGTGAAGGACTAACTGCCCAGCTGCTGACTGTGCTGTGTTGTCACGGTTGTGCTCCTTCCCGGTCCAGCCCATATTCAATGACTGGCAGACATGGGAGTCCAAGGGCCTGACCTTCTTGACCCAGTGCCGGATGATTCTGAAATGCCATTCCAGCTCCAGGTCCCCCAGTCAGGTTGGCCAAGGCTGTCCTTGTGTCTGCATCCCTGGGGTCACTGGGGCCTATGGCAACTCTGATGGGGTCCAACTCTCATGAAGTCTTTCTTGGGAAACTCAGTTAGGTTAGTTCTTTCTTCAGCCCTACTCTCTGAATCAGGGGTATTCAGAGATGGTCCAGGCACTTGGTTTGGGGCAATGACCATTTTACCTCCTTCTGTCCAGCTCCTTTTTCCTCCCAGTTCTACTTAATTTTGTAAATATTAACTGAATATGAAGTGTCCAAAATGGGCCAGAGACTCTGCCAGACAGTGAAATTCAAGGGTGAGCAGAAATGACACTGTCTCTGCCCTTCTAGAACCTAAAATGTAATGGAAGAGACATATTATTCAAATATCCCCACAAATAATGCAAATTGCAGCTATGGTGACTAGGATGATGGAGAGTTTATATGATTCTCCAAAATGATGTGATTGTGAGATGTACACTAGGCAGATATGTCGGGGAAGCCCTCCTTCCCTTACCCCCAGTTCGCATATAAGGAGAGACCAAAGGATGATTAGAAGTAAAATGTCTGAGATGGAGTTCCAGGCAGAAAGAGGCCACACGCACAGGTCTCAGGTGGGGAAGGATCCAAGGGATGGAAAGGAAGCCAGGGGAACAGGTTATCCAGTGGCCTGGTATAGTGTGTGAGTGGCAATGTAGAAGAATACCAAGAGGGTAAAATGAAACTAGAGATACAAGCAGTGTAATAAAGGAGAAATGAATAAAGAGAAATGGTTTGGTAAAGGTAATTCCCACTATATTCTTTCACCATTCTGGAGACTCCCCATTTACATGTGATCTGGTGTACCATTGACAAAAGCTTTGTCCTTGGCCAAGCTTGAGTTAGGCTCTTCTGAGCCCTCTTTTATTTTATTTTATTTTTTTCTCTGTGGTTTTTTTTTTTCCATTTATTTTTATTAGTTGGAGGCTAATTACTTTACATCATTGTAGTGGGTTTTGTCATACATTGACATGAATCAGCCATGGATTTACATGTATTCCCCA